TCCTATATAAATAATCGGTTTATAAAATAAACCACAATTGAGCCGTAACTAGTAACGTCAATAAGTCTGCATCTATAACTACAATATAATTTCTACACAAAAAAATTTTTTGTAAAATTTTGGGCTTTTAGATAGAAAAGTTTGCTATTAGGTTATATTATTTATATAAGAAATTTTTTTTATATCACATGAAGCGAGATGCGTGGATTATTCTAAATTTCAGTACTGTATATACGTAGAAGATACAGTATCTTGGCAACCATCTAATCAAATTTAATAAGCCTTTTTTTTTTTTTGAATTTTAAAAATTTATAAAATTAAAAAAAAAAAATTTTAAATTTAATTAGATATTGTCAAAAAAAATCAAACCATTTATTAGAAGTTGTACCAAATTTTTTATAAACCTTTGAGTAAAGATATTCAACAACCACCTAACCAAATTTAATAAAATTTTTATATTTAAAATTCTATAGATTTATAAAAGTTAAATTTTTATTAAAATTAGTAAGATAGTTCTCAAGATATCTTCACTCAAAGGTTAAAAAAATTTGGCATATAGCCCAAGAGAATGCACTTTGCGTTGATGAGGTTTGAGCGTGATATGTATGTACGTATCCGGAACCCGTAAAAATTTGAGAAGGATAGTGATCCTTCCTCCTTCCTACATAAGATAAAAAAAAAGATTTGCCTAGTTTTAAATTTATATATTTTACATAAGATATTAATGATCTCTTTTCTTTCAGAATATTACGTGTATTTGTCATCACCCTTATTTCAAAATTTTATAAATTCCAATAATTGGCAAAGATTTTGAAATTTAGCATTGTCACTGTTTATCACTGTTTATTTTAAAAGTAACAAATACAGATAATGCCGTAATATAGAATATAGAATGTAACCAGAAAAGATTTAAGTGGCCCACAATTTTTTTGGTAAACATGATTTTTTTTTTTTTGGTAGCATGATTTGACGATGAAAATGATACAAAAATATTTCGACAAAAATTTATTCCGAGTATATAAATCTTAGTATAACTAATGATGTGAATGAAACCTTTGATAAGAATAAAAGAAGTTTAGCAAAAAAAGGGATCAGTTTATCCGAATATTTTAATATATCTATTATAAAGTATATATATTATCATAAGTGTGTAATAAACATTTCGGTTATCGCAATAAATATCCATGAAAAAATTGTTCATATAGTACAGTACTTCACAAACATTAATCTTAATTCAATGTTGCGATGATCGTGATATCTCTTACATAGATATTTATAGAACGAATCATTCATTTAAAAATATTGATAATATGTTGGGACACCTGATCTCACATGTGTTAAAAATTAAAAATATTACTAAATTTGATTATTTAACACTAGTACGAAGATCTTACTAATTTCCAAAAATTATTAAAGTTAGGACTTAAGGTTAGTTCTAATGTTAGTGTAAGGTACAGTTTAAGCCAAGAATTTTTTGAACACAGAGTAAATTTATGTTCAAATTTTTGAGATATTGACATTCTATTATGATATTGGTGTTAAACACCAGTGGTAAATTAATATCCTCGTTACAATTTATTGTATAATATAGTACACTAATTTCTAATAAAGTCTTCCTAATGAAACTCCGAATTAAATTTTTGATCTGATGCAAATTTTATTTGAAGCACAACAAAAAAAAGAGCTTAGAGACAAATGATACCGTTAAAAGTAATTATAAAAATTTAATCGAACAAAATTTGTATGAATGAATATTTTGTTATTATCTCTGGATATTTTGTGACCATTATTACACTACAGCACTAATTATTGTATTTAGGTAACATCTAAAACTGATGTGTAATAAAATAGTCTTCAATGACGGACATTTTCGGGCATACACGATTAGGTTAATTCCGACATTCAAAATGTAAATAAATCAAAAATAGAAACAAATTTCAAATACTAAATTATCGCAATTACATACATACACATTCATACATATACATATACATACATATATACATTTTTATTAAAAGATTCTTAATTAATGCTATTTATTACTATAATTATTAACGTTAATACGTGTCCCAACGATTATTAGAACAAAGAATAGCATGAAATTAATCCAACTTTCTTGATTTAATAACTTTAAAGACTTCCATTTCTTCTATTAAAAACTTATCTTTTGTTGTTCTTATAGGATCACCATAACAATTTTGTCTACAAAATCCTTCATCTGGGGTTTCTTCACATGAAAATTCCAAATCACCTTTACCAAAAGATGGTCCAAATTTTACGCCATCATATATCGCAAATTTTCTGCATCTTTGTTGAACTCTACTAATTTTAGGTGTCATTGTTTTATTAAATAAAACATTAAAACTAAAAATAAAACTATGATCCGTTTCTATATAATTATCTAGACTGTTCCATCCGACTGGATTATATCCACCTATTATTTCTTTATTATTTTCTACATAACTTCTTGAAGATATTTTAAGTAAAACAATCACCGGTCCATTACCATCACATTTATTGTGAAAACATTCAAAAGAAAATGATGATTGACTTGCTCTATGTAATAAATGAAATTTTATATTACCAAATTGAATTCTACCATTAACTGACTTCCCTTCCATAGGATCTATCCAATTTGCGATTAAGGCAGCTTCTTTTGGTTCAATTATTAGAGAGCTAAAAAATATATTTTTACGTGAATTTTTTAAATATAAATAAAAATAAATAAAATTTTATTGTTATTTTTTTTAAAAAAAAAGACTCTTACTCAATATGATAAGGTGGTTTTCTTGGGATTAACGCTAAAGGTACATTATCCAACTGTGATCTTGAAAAAGTATATCTCCAAGGAGTTGATTGTAAAACTTTAGGAAGAATTGAATCATAAGGTCTTACATATTCATCAAATTCATTTATTGAAATATCAGTGAATCTAATTAATGGTATTAATTTTGCTATCTTCTTTTCAAGATTTGAAAAATCTTCTTCATTCCATTTAGAAACATCTTCATTTTTAATAGATGAATTAGCGATACCCCATTTTATTAAATAATTCCAAATTTTTATTTCTTCTAATTTTAATTCATCTCGTGAGATAAGTGCTGATAACATTAATTCATTAATAGAAATAAAAAAATTTGATGAAAAAAAATTTGTTGGATTATCAGCTATTATATCAACACAAAATGATTGTAATTTTTTATAATGTTCATGTTGAAATGCGACTTCAGTAACTTGATAAAGATAATCTTTTAACCATTTTGATTCATGAACAATGAAGAAATCTTGAATATATTCAAAGAGTTCTTCTAATCCAAGTTCGTCAAGTGCTTGTAAAAGTCCCAAAAGGTCTTTTGTTTCTCTATTATATAAATCTAGATTGCCTGTATATAAGTACCTTTTTTTTTTAAACAAAAAAAAAAAAAAAAAAAAAAGAAAGTCATCTAAAAATTTTTTAAAAAGAAAAAAAAAAAGTTATTTTTTAAAAAATTTTTTTAAAAAGAAAAAAAAACATACTTTAAAATTATTTCGAAAACTTTTGGGGAAATATTTGGTTTTTTAAGACTCATCATTTCAGAATTCTCGGTATCTCGTCTACGCCAATCATTTGATAAAGCTACATGAAAAAAATTACATCTTGAACGTAATATTACTGAATGAGCTTTAAAAGTTTTTTTATCTGATCCTTCACCGATTTCTATTAAAACATTATAATCATCTGCATTTTCATAAAGTTTTGAAATATCGTTACGAAGTTTATCTAAAAATTGTGACATTTTTAAAAGAGTGAAAAAAGTATTTTTTGTAAAAATTAAGTAAAAGATGGTGTTTATCGTTATTTATTTATATATTTTATATATATATTTTTTTTAACATATTATTTGTTTCTAATGGATATTAATATAAACAGTATAAACAGTTTTACAAATATCCGATTTAAGAAGTAAATTCCTTAATATATAACAGCATAATATTGCACATTTTACGTATTAGAAAATACTACCTCTATCTTTTCATTTCTCTAAGTGTACATATTCAAAAAAGTGTACAAACTTTAAAACATATTCTTTAACTGCCACACACTTTTTTTTAACACTCCCTCACTCCCTCCAAGTAAAGGCCATGTGATCCATCATTATGTCTGACAGTTGAAGTTGAAGTTGTGTTACGAATAATCAATCTTAAACTGTTACATGAAATTTCTTACGTAAAATCTTTTGAGTTACATCAAATGATACAATAATACTGGCGATGATGAAATTACTAAACTCACCGAATGCGAATTCGTGAATAGTTAATAATTTAGGGTTTGATGTAAAGATGGTTGACGAATGACGAAACCTTTTCGTCAGGTGACTTCAAATTGACTAATTGACGAATGATGTAACTTATGACGAATGACGAAACTCATGACGAATGACGAAACTTATGACGAAACCTATGTATAGTAATATATTTTATATTTAATATAACATTTTGGCGTAATATTGTCGTAGCGAAGACCAGTACCCTTTGTACTATGTTCGGGGTGTGTTCGGAGGTGATTGTGTCGGATGAATCGGGTGTGCATGTGGGAACAGGTGGCTTAGAATAGTGATGATATATTGAATAGATCAAATATTGTAGTATAGAAAACTAGCCTCGTTAACTATACCACTTAACATGAAGAGGGTAAGGATATGTGTATACAAAAAGTAAACCTCAAGAAAACTCAAATAAAACTCAAGAAAAATAAACTCAAAATAACTCAAGATATAGGATATAAGGTAGTGCTTGGCATAATCAAACAAAAATTTGATAATCAAATACTTGTTAATACTTGTAATTAAGCCAGACATCAAATAATTGCAGATTAACCAATAGTATATAGTATATTTAGCTTTGGTTAATTTGTAATTGTTTGATATCTGATTTAAACATAAGTATTAACAAGTATTTGATTATCAAATTTTTGTTTGATTATGCCAAACACTAATATAGAAAATAAGAAAGAATATCCAAAGAAAATATAATAAAAATATGATAAAAACTTAGAAAAAACTCAATAAAAATATTATAAAAACTCAATAAAAAGAGTATATATATATAGTAGTAAGTATATAGTTAAAAGTATAATAGTTATTTATTAGGAAAAGATTAGGAAAATACAAGTTAGAACCTATCCTGCCTTGGGTAAAAAGGTAAAGTTTATATATTTTTTAAAACTCTATATAATTACTAATTATAATTTGTACTATTGTGTTATTGTATTAACAAAACATATTAAAGAAACTTGTTAAAAGGACTTGTTACAGAGACTTGTCAACAAGACTAGTCAATAGATCCATGTCATAAGGATGACAAATTGTGATTTGTTATCTCTTATTTATTATATAGTAGTTATATATATTTAAATTTAAATAACTTATTAACTATTAATTTAATTGACAAGTAGTAAAAACTATATTTAAAAAATTAATATCAGAGATTCTTTTAGTAGAATTAGATTTGTATTATAGTTAGAAGTTATACAGAATTACTTAATAAAAATTTTAAAAATACTAATAAAATACCAATATAACTCTAATATAACAATATATTTTATACAAGTAAAGCTTATTTGTAATATACATATAATCATGTATAAAATATATATTATTAATTTATAGTTAATAGAATAATAATATAATATAAATAGGGTTAGGATTTCACAGCCTAGTAGTCTAGACACCCAACCCTCCATAAGTAGGTTTCAGTTTTATGTTCTACTAGAAGCAGTTTCTAGAAATATTTAGATATACTTACTGTGAGAAGTTCAAGTGAAGTACTAGTCTAAAATAAGAATTTCCAGAAAGAGATTTATTGTGGAAAAGTTGGCACTACATATAGTAGCAGTATCACAGAAGGTCTCAATATAGAAAGCTTGTATATATAAATTCTTGATATAATATACAAGATAGCATCAACAACTCTAAGGTGGTCTTGGAATCTTGGTTAGGAGGGTAACACAACTATATTCAGACTTGAAGTAGTAAAAAAAGTGGTAAACACAAAGAGATCTGTAGTAAAGAATTGACCTTACTAGGTTAGAAAAATCTTTGACATATACTACTTGTCTAATTTAAAAAAAAATGAATTTTTATAGAGAGTTGGCTAAAACTTGAGGTATATATAAAAATCTGAAATAGCTAGAAGCACTAGGCTAGTAGTGTAGCAATATATGAACAAGAGGAGAACACTAGTAAATTTAAATACCAAGCAACTAATTTAGAAGTATTATAGTATACAAATTCTAATTAGATCTATACTTCTGATGTCTCATAATCTAAAATATTAAGGCAATAGAAATACCAAATATATCTAGTAGAAATCTTAAAACAATTTGGAAAAACTGTTTTATAAAAGCTATTGCTAAAAGTAGAAGCATAGCTTTTATGATTATAACAAATCTTTACCAACACATAAACTCTAAACAATATTAACAAAGGTTATATTTGAACTATTAGCAGTTTTTATACAATTTGATTAGATAAAAAATTTTTTAGCCAATCAAATTGCTTAATTTTGCAAAATTTTAATTTCTGTTGGCTATTTTTTAAATATAATTTCTATTAGTATTGTTTGAGTTCTGAGTACCTGTTATCAAGAATTGGCAATGCATATAATACACATATAATATTAAAAAACTGGGGCTATGCTGAGTACAAAAAATTAGATACAGCATCATTACAACCTTGGTTTAACCAAGTTTGGAAATAACTATAAAGTTACAAGGCTCTTCTCTTGGGGAAGTACTAACTTTGAGAGTTACATGTATAAACACTATGTGTAAATTAATAAATTTTCAATATATAAAATTTAAAAAAGTTTAAAGAAAAATTTACATAGTAAAAATTTTAATACAAGAACTTTAAACTTTTATTATACTAAAGTTTTTTAATAATTTTAAAAAAGTTT